ACCTCACTAGTTCTTTCCTTTTGGAACTGGATCTATATTTCTATTCATTGTATGCATTCTATCGCCATCTGCAGTGCACTAGTTTCAAATGTTTTTTCAGCTTTGTAGAATCTCCGTGTGTACAGAAGCGTGCCCAATTCAACTTTTCTTCTGAAACTATGTACAGTATATCTAATGCATACAACCTAGGCTAATAATAGCAGTCTGCTGTTCAGTCTCCATCACTGACTTGACTTCATTTAACCACACTGTGCCAGTCAACACCGGGCATTTTATGCTGGCACTGATGCTTTTTATTTTGTTTTATGTACTCTGGTGCATCAGTAAAATCCTGGCACCTGGCATCAAAGAATTAATCGTTCAAGAACCAAGTGCCATTGAAAGCAGGTGATTGTGTTTCATCATGACTTTCTGATTTCCTGTATAATATGCATATTATTTTATATTTTTAGAGGGTGACAGTATGCAGCTATATGGTTTTAAAGAAAACTTAACATGCTTTCTGGAAAAAAAGTTCCCCAGAGTTCCTTTTTTTAATATCTTTGTGAAACCTTTGGAATTGTATTTAAAGAGGAAAAACTCATGTTCTAGAGCTCAAACTCTAGGGGTGTGGAGGAATGTGCTAGAGTAGCACTAGAACTCAGTAGTTCTGTAGTCACTTGGGCACATCGTAATCTCAAACTTTAGTACTTTATCTGTAAGAATAATTACATTGGTCAGATTCTCCGAGAGCTCCGTGGAAGCATGGTTTCAATTTCAAATCTAGAAAATTGATTTACAAGAGCAGCTGAAACCATCTCTATCATATTCCTTCCCAGCTCAATCTCTTTGTGATTTTGAGAGATCCTGTTAGTAGTAAGAAATAAGAGAAAGAAATCTGCTGTAATGAAATGTTCTTCAGGTTGTTGAATGGGGGTAAGTATGCATGCTTAGTATGCAGTGCAAAAAAGATGATGATTGAAGTTATCTTTTTGAGATGGTGCATTTATAACACTATATGCTGGAACTGAACAATATGCAAGTCTGCCTCGGGATAGTGTAGTTATAGCTCATTCAACCAATAGTGAGATAATTAGATTTCTTTTGGATTCTCTCTCAGTGACAGACATGGAGTGTCAGATTTTCTTTTTTAGTGGAAGAAAAACATAACCATAGAAATAGTAGGCAGGAAGACAGGCGTTAAATCTGTAGCTTAATATGTCTGTTGTGTATCTTCCACATATTACATATATACACTTACAACCATGTATATTAAAATGTGTTCTCACGAAAGGATCTGAATTTCCAAGTGACTAAGCTGGAGTTTGCATTCATTCAGTCCTGTAAGCTTCTGTGGCTATACTTTTCACACATATATATATAAATATATACATATATATACATACAGTTAGCTTTGGACGCTTCTGAATGTGTTTGGCTGCTAGACATATTTTTTTAAAAAATCTGTTTTAAAGCCTTGGAAAGATTGTGAATAGACTTCAGGCATTTTATTCTGATATTATTTAGAAGTTCTCAACTGTAGCAAAGATGAACAGGTTTTGTTTAATTTATTAAGGGTTGCACTATTTGTGGGGGAGGGGAGAGACTTTTGTTACATATTTAAATGAAAGATTGCAATTTTTTGCATTTGTTTAATTTATTTGGTAAGTTTTTTGTAATTTTTTCCTTAACACACATGTGTATGCACTGCCAGCAAATCAAAGTGTGAATTTGCCACATCCAAACCCTATTTCTGCAATTAATGTAGCCAAGCTATTAGTTATATATAGTTGAGCTCCATAGCACACAGTGAAAGCACGAAGAAGCCCCCTGCTGTTTTGTTACAAAACAGACTGTCTTACTGCCAGTCTGTAGGTCATAACAGAAGTGGGGCTGTTTGAAGCATTTTCCACATAGCAACTGCTCCAAAAGGTTGCTTCCATATAGCTATCCTAACACAGAGACAGGCTCTTAGAGTAGAATGGGCACCATTCACGAAGTATCATTTTAATCCTTCTAGCTTTTGTTTGGCTGAGCTTGCCCTGAATGCTTTCCCCATGAGTTGAATTTCAATAATCTTTTAAAATAAAAGTTTGATGTTCTGAATACATTCTGCACAATCCCCGCTGGAATGAATAGGGATGTGATGCCATGATTTACCCTAGCAGTTTTGTGGTCAAGGAGTTCGGAGGTTCTGAATAAGCATCTGCCTGTCGAGCTTGCTGGAAAAGTTAGCTCTGATTCTGCCTTATGGGCAAAATTCTAGATCCCGCTCTGGAGCAGCTAGTTGCTGATCAACCAGTCAGTTCTTCTAGCTTGAGCCCTTTGGTTGAGGCCTCAGACTAGACTTTTCCATTCTGGTTCAAAGTTGGCAGATTCTCTGCTGAAGTGCTAAAAAGATATATGAAAGTGTCATCCTTGATACAGAATTATTAGTGTTTATACATTTTACTTTTATACTTGTAACAGTAATTTTATTTTGCTCTGGAGTTGCTTTGCTGTATCATGAGTTATGAAACTACATTTTGAAACACTGTTCTTTTTAGAGGACAATTTAACAGTATTTTTGTGCACTGAAATTGAAAATTCATCTCCTCTTCTCAAATGTCAAATGTGTGTTCAGGTGCTTTACACTGTTTTCAAGCCATTTTCCTTTGCTTTTTTGTTTCATATTCAAAATGGTTTCTTTCAGTTTGAAAGTATGTTATTTAAGCAGTTGAAATAAAGTCTTAGTATTTGACAAGCTGATACAGTATGCTGCTTGGAGGGAAATATGTGAAATTTTCCTTGACACTTATCTTCGGGTGCACTTTTTAAATTTAGTTTTATCATTTTGCTACTGTAATAGATTAAAAGATCATGAAAGATTTCCTAAGACTGTTTTTCCAGGACAAGGTGAGAATGAATTGCCCTGAATCTATTAAACTGAAATAATTTAAATTATCCTAGCATCCAAAAGCAGCTTGGTTTTTGAAACAGTTCAGAATGCATACCTTAGTGAAAGGAAAAGCTATTTGAAAATAGAACTATCTGGTGGAGCAAACAGGTGGTCCTCAGACAGACTCTCAGGAGCCGCTGCATACTTCATATGCTCAGACCAGGGGTCAGAGACCACACTCCAGCTGTAGGAGTGTGACTCCTCAGTCTGACTCTCTTCCCCCTCTAAGCTGTCACAGGAAGTGCAGTGCTGACTGCCTCCCCGGAATGTACCCTCGAAGAAGGGAGAAAGGGGTGTCTCAGTGGACAAGGAGGGGAGGAAGTGGGAGAAGCCAGGGCATGAGCTATCCCGTGGCCTCTCCCTCTCTAAAAATAGTCTGCTAGTGAAGATGCAGTGCAGGAGGATGGGACGTGGAGACGGCTTCTGCCACTTCTCCATTCCTGTGAAGGATATCAGAAGCCTCCACATCTGACCACTTAGGATCACTGAGGGTGCTCCCTGTGGCACTGTGCCCTGCACCTCTAAGGGGATGGGAAGACCTAACCTTGGCTGTATAGTACCAAGGGCTACTACCATGCCTGAGATTTCTGTTTGTGTTCCTCACAGAAGCCATGTAGAAACAGAAACAATGACAACGTGCAATCTACTGCTGACAGCTCGATGCCTTCATGTTCTTCATAAGGCAAACATGCTTTAAAAATAGCCATTTGCATCAGAACTGTGAAATGAAGCCTACAGGATGATGATCTTTCTTTTGTATCAATAATTAGGTTTATTTAATGCTTTTATTAAGCTAAAAATACATTGGACAAACATCTGTTTTGAATACTTGTACACAATGCCACTTCCGAGTTAGTGTCTTACTCCTAAATCTGTGTCTGTCTTTTTCTGAAACACTTTTAAATAGTGGAAGTTGTGAAATAACAATAGGGATTCAGGCATTCTGTAGAAGTATACATGTCTAGTGTGTAAAGTATGTAATGTGTACTCCAGATGTGTATTCTCTGGGATCTATGTATCTGTACAGTAGCTTGTTGTGAAGGAAACAAATGAACTGGATACTTTTCTGATGGTTATGATGGGGGGGGGATTGCCACTATTATGAAAGATGCTGTAATTAATAAACCTCTATAGTAGCAGACCTGAACTTTCCCTCCCTTCTCCATAGATAAGTCTTTTGATCTTGGTTCTAAAATACTATCTATTAAAATGTATGGATACACTGGCAGACTGCATGATGTATCATCCAAAACCTGTTAAAGTGGAAATAAAACTGAAGTAAACTTTCTTGTGAGCAGCATTTGTGGCCTGTTTTTAGTAATTGTCATGATTCCAGCCTGCTGTCATCTGCCTTTTGCACTATGAGAGACTTGAAACAAGACAAAATGATGCTTGTTGTGTTTGCCAAACTTCCAGCTCCTTGCTTAATTCAGCCCATATCTAGCAGGTTTAGGGATATATATTTTATATCTGGTGAATCCAAGCAAAGTTCAGCTTTGAGGACTTGCCTGTGACTTTGGTCCCTAGAAAAACAATGCTTGTAACTCCTGCATTCGGCAAGAAAACCTTGCTTTGCAAAGAGGAAGGAACTAAGAAAATTCAATCTACTTCCCTAAGTTTCAGCAGCAACATGAGGCATTCTTGATTCTGATTCATCATCAGCTGTAACATGATCTCCCATTTAGAAAAACCGTAACAATCTAGTTCTGGTACTGAAATTTTGATAAAATTAACAAATGCCTATCCTTCTCGGCTTAACTGGGCTTGTGCAAAAACTGAGGGTTGGGCTGAGAGAGCAATTACAGACAGATTGCTCTGTCCTGGACAGGGGGGTGGTGACTTCTCAAGTATTCCCAAATGATAAGCAAGATCCATTGTGGGAAATGAGCCAGACTTCTCTGCCTTACAAAGCATCAGACAATCTAATCTAGTTCTTTCAACTTTGAAGGTCCCAGGCTACAGACATTTTTATGGGAGGAATAATTAAGACCCCCACACTACTTCTGGTAAAATATCATGCCTGCTTGGATAAGCTCCCCTTCATATTTTTTGGTTGGAACTTGCTTCTTTCAGTACCACCAGACTACTGACATTCCACTAGGTGGCAGACTCTGATGACAATATTGTTCTCTCAAGGAAAATATACACTTGATAAAAGAACCCAAGATAAACCATTATCAAGTATCATTCCTTTCTTACTGTTATTTTAAAGAACTGTTTACAATGATGACCTGGATTTTCAGAAAACTGAAGAGAGGGAAGTATGTGCTTATTTTACATGTTTAGTCTCTATTTGAATATGCAACTTAAAACTTTGAAATCAGAACTAGCACAAAATAGCATATTTAAGCTTCCCCGCAGCAACATCATTACATGTACTCTGATAGCATTACATAACAGCACAGTCTGAGTTACTTCTGAGCAACCATAACTGGGAATGAACTGTGAAATTCAAGCTGTCCTAGTTGCCAAATGCCTGGAGGGGGGATAGGTTCTCTGCATTCTGTGCCTCTTTTGGAGTGGATCTGTATTTCCATTCACTGGGTTTTGGCGCCTGTATTACTTCCTCTCACCTCATAAGCAGCAGCAAAATACTTGGAGGAAAAGTGCTGATTTCAGGCTTAGGAGAGAAATCAGCAGTGTAAGCAGGTAAAGTTCTAAAGTAATACATGCTGGGGCAAAAAATCCGAATTTCAGGCTGATGAGATCTGAGCTAGCAGTGACTGATCAAAAAAGGGCTCTTGAGGTGGTGGAGAGCTTCTAGAAAATGTTGATCTAGTGTGTAGCGGCTATGAAAAGGGCAAGGTCTATGTTAGCCATATAGAGGAGTGAAACTGCCATGATTGCACTCCTGTCCCACAATACCCTGTGCAATTGCACTGAGGAGATTGTGTACAGGAAAGCATGCAGAGAAGTGCAGCGAAGATGATAAAGGGGTTGGCTCAGGTCCCCACGAGGAACAGCTTTATGTTTTATTGTAAGCTGCCTGGAGAGCCCATTGGGCTATGGAGCTGCATATCAACACAATAAATACAATTGAGATTGTTTGGCTTAGAAAAAGGGGAAACATGACAGAGGTGTTCAAAATTAAGCATGGTGTGGAGAATGGGAAAAGACATTTCTCTCTCTCTCCCATAGTATTTATTTATAAGATTTCTATCTTGCCTGCATTAGCCAGAAAGACTCTAGTACTAGAACTCACGGCCTGGTTGGTGGGGGATTAAGGATAGATAAAAGGAATTACTTCTTCATACAGCAGGAAGTTAAACTATGGAAAGTATTGCCACAGAAAATAGTGATAACTACCAATTAGGAGTCTTTAAAAGGGGATGGCACAAATTCATAGAGAAGGCTCTCAGTGCGCCACTGTCTATCAGAGGCTGCATGCTCGGGCAGGCAGAAATCTTGTACCGAACGTGCTTGAGGGATCCTGTGTGCGCAGCTGGTTTGCCACCATGTGCACCGACTGCGGAATCAGATGGATCTTTGGTCTCATGTAGCGTGGCTGTTTTTATGTTTTTATACTCTTAATCTTATGGAGGTTTTGGGCGGAGAAGACAAGCCTATAACTCCCAACAGCTCCCAGCCACCTTATGCAGGCCGGGGCGTGCTGGGAGCTTTCGGCCTCCCCGCACCCGCTAAACCCGCATTGAATTTCGCATTTATGGGAGGGCGGGCAAAGAGAGGGCGAGCGAGCGCCGGTGGTTTTTAACATCTCAACCTCTGCCTCCACAGGTAGAACTCAATTTCCAGAGGCAAGTATTCGTAAGTGATAAGCGAGATGCATTGTAGGAAAAAAGTTTCAACCCAATGAACAAGATTCTTTGCTTAGCGTTTCTTCAGTAGCTGATCTTCTGGGGAGCAAGGAGAAAGAATCAGGCACGCGATTTCCAGCTGCTCCGCCGTACCTGCTGAAAACGAATCCAAGGCGTGGCTCTTCCCGCTCTCGAGCGGCTCTTGCCGGCATCTCCTCTTCCAGTCCTTTCCGGGGAATTACCCCCTTTCGGACGGCCCTCTTCCTGCCCCTGCGCCCGCGCCCCCTACGAAGGGGGAGCGCGTCCAGCGGGGCGAGCAAGACGCGCCCCCCTCGCAGCACCCACCTGCAGCCTTCACCAGCTCCACCCTGGCAGGTAAAACCCCGCCCCTCCCGTGCGCATGTGGGGGGAGAGGTGCTGCTGGCTGCCGGTCGGTGCAGCGCTTGCTGTGAGCCCGCCACCCCGCAAACTCGCCTCAGCGCTTAGTGCGCTGTTGCTGCGCCGCGGTTCGGCCAACAGGCCGGGAACAAGCCGACAGCGGGAGCGCCGGGTGAGTGCGGCGGGGCGCGGGCGGCGGGCGCCAGGCTTGGCGCTGTTCTGAACCGGGGGACGGGGCGGGTGGCTCGCGAAGGCTTGAGTGGCCCTCCCAGGAGGGGGCAGCACCACGCACGACTTTCCTCTCTTCCTCCAGGGACCGCTCGACCCTTGGGTGCAGGCCGGCAAAGTGGTTGGCTGTCCCGTCTCTTTCAAAACTTGGCTCTTGCTCCTGTTGGCCTTTGCGTGAACCGAGCAGCCGGGGGAAGGTGGGCCATTAAAACCAGGACCAGGGCTCTCCGCCGCGCGTTATGCCGAGGCGGTTGGTTGACGGGGCGGAGCCATAGCTTTGTCGTGAGGACACGTGCTTTGCGTGGAGGAGGCCTCCGGTTCAGCCCGCTCCGGTTGAAAGGATTCCTCTTCCTGGGACCCTAACGGGTCGCTTGATGCTGTGATCGGATATACTGCAGCTTCCTGTGATTTGGCGGCGAACAGAATCCACGTGCGCACAAGCCATG